AGAGAGAGAGAGAGAGAGAGAAGCCAACGGAGTGCACCCGCCGACTGAAAAACTGTTTCGTTCCTCCTCTTCGGTTCGCCAAAGGAGACGACCGTGATTACTCAGGGGCCGGCCATCGAGGTCAATCTTTTCTTAACGTTCAACGAGGGGCGAAGCTTCTGGACGGACGACCCATCGCCGACACGTGTTTGCTGATGCTTGTGATTCGCGAATAATCAGAGGTCTTACGATCGCGAAGATCGGCAGGGAGAGATCGCCAGAGGTGGATATTTTACGAACACAATTTAAGTATAGGTTATCGGAGAGCTAGGAATTTGCAGATGAGCTGAGGTTTCGGTGAATAAAAGAAAGCAAAAGGCTGATTGTTTTTTATATTCATATTTTGCCTTCATTTGAATAGCTACATTTCAAAGTTGATTCGAATTAATAACCGGTGGGAAATGTACTCTCTTTCAAAAGATGGAAATTCTTTAGAAAACGAGAGCATGATAAGGGATTTACAAAGATCTACTATGCTACTTGTCTGCGGTCACTAAAAATTATGCCTCAAATTACGCCTGTGGTGGTTTTTAAGTAAGATACTGAGAAATCCAAAGTAAATCAAAGATCAGAGCAGTAGAATCCTTCGTCGAAGAATGCGGACAGAAATGTTGGACGGAATCATGTTTAACTGTATCCTTTCAATTATCACTGTTATTTAAACATAACCCTCAAAGCCTTCGACTCGTGCGGGCCACTTGAGCCAAACGACTCGTAAATCCTGTACACCATGCCAGCTCATCGACAGTGCTTGAAAAGCCCATTGAAAATTTTTATCATTCTTTTTCATTTCAATTTTAATCAGACTTCCTTTTTAAAAATGTATTTGGACAAGTATATTTTATCCAAGTATTATTATTATTATTCCTTGTGTCCCAACTTTGTTTCAACAAAAAAGGAATGCAAAAAGAAAGGAAAATACCGTTTTCATAAAAGATTTCGATGTTAAATTAGATCGAGATATCATGCATATTATCTTTATCTTTTCAAGGATAGAAAATAATTGAAATAACGAAGCACAATCAAGAATCGTGCAAACAACGACCAAATGATGTTTTCAATATCATGTATATATTACAATATCACATTCAGTGTCATATCTTATGGTATTTAAATTCATTAAAATCATTATTTTACGATATTTAAATATTTTCTGTGAAATACGTGAAGTTATGCATTTTCCTAAATACCCACGGTGTCAATCGGAATTCTCAATTTTTAGGTTAGGACCTCAATTTAACATTATCGCCAATGATTTTAAAATGATCATTCAATAATTATCAAAAGTTTGCAAGAATTCGATTGTAAATTTTCTTTTCTCTTTTTTCTTTTTTTAAGCAAAACTTTCAGTTTCAAGGATGCAAAGGAAGCACGACTTGCCGGAATCGGAAGATACACAAAATGGCCACCAGTGTTCGCGAAATGCAAAATAGAGATCACGTTCCGACATAACGCAATAATCTCTGGTAGAAACGTAACAGAGATTGCATAATGCCTTCTTTTTACGAGGTAGCCTGTCCTTGAACGAATCTCGCGAACTATTAATGCATCGGTACGTGTTGCATTGGTTTACACTAGCGGCCAGAGTTTGGTTCCTGTTGACGAAACAGAAACGAAGTGGTTTTACATCCGAGTCACACAGGAAAAGCTCGTTTCCGTTTTTTGCAGCCGTTCGTCCGTTTCGAGAGTCGCCGGTCGATTTTACCTTGGTCGACTGTGATTTTTTTTAAACTGGCGAACTGGAAACTGCATGAAAACTAATTTGCAAAATTTCCCCGAGAAATTGCGAGAATTGTAAGTGTTTGAATGAAGTTAAATAATAAAAAAAAAAAAATAAATGATGTTGACTAATAACAATCTTCCTATTGAAATTTTTTGTGAAAATTAAGCATCACGATAAATTACCTATCATGATTAAGTATCGAGCTATTTTTACAAATGAATATTTCTTGAATTTTGAGCAATTACTATTTCAAAAAAATCTAATTTAATCTTATGAAATAATTTAAAAGATTGTGCGTAAGTGATATTAACATTCACATACTTCAAAAATAGTTGATTCTTTTCTTTTTCGACTTATTTTTTTCTCTTCCGTCGGATCGAAAACATCCTGTACATTCTAGAATCTATAAATTACGTCACACATGATACACAAAGATGTACGTAGTATAATGTTATAATATTCACAAAACTATAAAAATTCATCAGCGTCCGCAGTTTATTTATCAATGTGTTTGCTACGTTATACAATCACCTCGTGAATTATGAATCAACTTTTTACGAAACTTGCGTCATCAAAAATCCATTTTACATAAAAAGCATTGAACAATCATCGACAATAAAAAAAAAAAAATCTTGAAATATTAATAATCAAAATCTCGATTCAAGTCATCGTCTATCTCACTGGAGTATCTTTGTATCTCACGTACTTGAAGAATTCGGATCCAAGTTTTTCACTTGGGAACTAGCGCAACCTCGTTGTTCGCAGATGATCGAGGAAGAGCGAGGATGTCATACCGCAAACAACGGATGTGTAAAGACATACGATATTCGTAATCACCTGTCAGCCACATTATCGTCCGGCTGGTGTCGCAATTACCAAACTGAAGTCTCGGTAACGTCGATACCGTTCCCGTCAGTGTCCGATTTCCTGTTATTCGTAGCCACCGTTTCCCCTGACACTGCGTGACACCGGCGCGATGATATCCGACGCGAGCATAAGTTTGCCCATGCACGATCTTGTCCGCGTAAATTTAGTTACACATCGATCGAGCGTATCGATTGAATGCCACGGATTGTTACGGAGCCACAACGATTTTACAACATTTGCACGATGAACATACTCGCTAACTAATTGTAGCGAGAAACGACAATTTACAGGTTGTAAGTACGTTCTTTTAGAACTTCGGGATTTTAGGACTTCAAGATTTGAGGATTTTAGGGGTGTAGGATTTTAGAATTGTAGCAGTTCTAGATACTTTCAAATTTTAGAAATTTAGAATTCCAGAACTTTAGAATTCCAGAATTTTTAGAATTCTAAGATTTTAGTGTCTTGAAATTTGGAATTTTAAAATTTTACGCCAACTTTAGAATTCCAGAATTTTTAGAATTCTAAGATTTTAGTGTCTTGGAATTTGGAATCTTAAAATTTTACGCCAAATAAAAAATGAAAATCAGATGATAGCCTAACATTTAAAAAGTAACATTTCTAACATTTAAAAAAACTTGCGGAATTTCGCTTGCTTGATGATTGTAATTAATAACTTACGACCTGTAAAATGTCACTCAATAATATTTCAAATGTGCAAGAAGGCCTTTCAATGATGATTTTAGAATATTTCACGAGTTTCATGTTTTCGCGGTTTATTTCATATATCAGACATACAAAAGTATATCTAAAGTCACATATATATTCCAATGTTAATCCTTTTGCTCTCGAAATCCTCCTTCCCACAGGAGTCAAAGTTACAGTAAGCTTTAGTTCGAGAAAATTTCAAGTGCAAAGAGCATTTTCTTATCATTAAAAAAAATAATATTTTCCAATCTGTACAGAAACTAATGGAATATTTCTACGATCGACTTTGATTTCTTCTCGTACTGTTTACATAGAGACTATTAAAGATTGATTGCATAGTCTTCCTACCAAGGATATCAAGCAAATATGTTTTTCTTTTTATTAACATTGCATTACAGAGTCTTGTTATGAATTCAAAAATAATATTCAAATCGGAGTAAAGAATAATTAAACGAATACGAATAGCTTACAAATTTGAACTTTGTTCATTAGCTGGCGCATTAACTGCAGTTATTGTCGGCCATTATTAAATAATATCTAGATTATCTTATCTGATTATCTTATCTGCTATAATAATTACACGTGACTACGGAATGTATAACGTGACTCGATTGGCCTTAAGTACATAATCACTGGTAATTATGAACTAACGCATTTCATTTCATTTCATTATTATACTCTGTTCTTCGCAAGCTTCGACAAAAAAGTCCTATGCTTATCTAATGATCCATGCCACGAGTGTGACACTGATTGTCACTAATACGTGTAATCATAAACATGATCTTACCCGAACGATTACCATCAAAATACCGTTAATGCTCTCTGCTAATCTAAATATATTCCGCTGTCACCCTCGGCGTGCAAATCTTGAATATTCCAGATCTTGAAAATTATTCACGCTGGATATTACGACATATTGTTCACGTTCGCTATATCCGTGAAATCTCACGAGACAATGCCCTGGCGCAGGAAATCATTTATATTACTAGGAAGCTTGAAAAATAAAATTGTAAAGAAAAAAAGAAGGAAAGGTAAAGGAACATTCAACTTTTATGTCGGCCGCGGAAACTACCGTGACCATTAACCGCGTCCGAAAATAACCAGAGACTTCCCGTAATAATATCAGCGACGGCTAGTATAAACAGCAGTTTCTAATAAAATGGAAGGAAACTCGAAAGACAAATCAAAATTAGGTAGCAGAAAACGATTATTGAAATTGTGATCTTTTGATGCTAGTTGGACGATCGTTCTCATTGCATTGAGAATTTCTCCAGCGTCACTCAACACAGTCTGATACGTAAATTTAATTGACGGTGAAACTTTCGTTTACATTAATAATCAGATTCCGGTATTTCGAGCGAACGAACAAAAGCCAAGTATACTTCTTCGAACGTGCTGCAATTTCACTTTCTCCCTCGAAAGCTTTCCAATAAATATAATTTTATTAAATTCGATAAACTGAAAATCACAATCCCACGAAGAGCACGGCCTCTCTCTCTCTCTCTCGAAGAATAGGAAACGAGATCAGGGCAGGAGGAAACGCGCGGGAACAAGCAGAGGGAAGCCTCGTCTGTCAGACTCGGCTCGGTTCAAGGCCGAAACAGTTTCACGTGAGAGCCACGCCATACGTGATTCGATTAATTGTTTTTCAGGTTCGTCATGGTTGAGCATCGGCGTCTCTGTCCATCTTTTCCGGCCGCCTCTTCCCTTTCTCGTCTCGCGTCCTTCTCTATCGCGTAGCCGCCAGCCACGTAATCGTCTTACAGCTCGAGCACGAACGCGGAACGCGGCAAAAATAACGTAATTTATATGCCGAGCGGATAAGACCCGGCTTTGCTGTGAGGCTGACCGGGTCGTCCATACGAAGTTCAAGGTCGCTGGATATACGCGAAAGATATCCACGATCTTTACGAGCGAAATCTATCACGATGGATGAAGATTAGTGGAACGGGGAACTAACGTCGTTCGCCTTCTTGTTTTTCGCTCGGTGGCCTTCGCACGGCGCCTCGTCGCACCGAGGAAATTCACAGTGGAACACCTCCGAATTAATCCCACGGTCTTCCTAAAATAAACGTTCGTGAAATTTATGACACTCTGCTTTTGTCTAAATCGTCCAGATAGCGATATACGCTCTAATTCTCGATTCTCCTCTGAAGTTTTTTAACTTCACTAATTAATAAGATTTTAATAATACCATTTTCTAGATTTTCTTAACGATATGACGCATCTTTGAATGATTAATTTATTTAGTTTCGGCAGTTTTGCGGATTGTTAGTTATTAATATTGTTTGGTATTTGTTGATAATAATCATAAGCAAGTGTACGTGTCGAAGCTTTGCGTTGAAATCCTCGCTATTTAACTGAAAAAGACCGTGACATTTGGAAGAAAAAAATTTCTTTCTCCCCTTAAAATAATTGCTTGCCAACGAAGGCCAATATCAGTAAATATTATCACGACAATTTGTATGTAGCTTTTTGCATATCGTATGTGTTGTAGGACATACGATCTGTTTCCTGAATTAGTCTCGAATGTGCTACTGAGCTCTTCGTCGCTAGTCACATGATCTTGGCAAATTGCGTATTAATATACAAAGTAATGTTAGTGCTCTGTGTATTAATGGCACTTTCAATTATTTTAAGCAGACCGTAATAATGTACTTACGTTAAAATATAAAATATATCAATAGTAATGTTAGTGCTCTGTGTATTAATGGCACTTTTAATTATTTTAAGCAGAATGTAATAATTATTTACGTTAAAATATAAAATATATTAATCTACAAAATTTCTAATTCTATATTAATATATAAAATATAAAATATAATGTACATTCTATTAAAATATAAAATTCTTTCTGTTGTTAATTAACAGACCTTTAAACGAAAAATACATTAAAGTTACGTAAGATAGGTAACACATGTAGCAAACAAGTTTCCGTAATATTTCGTTATTAAAGAATATTTTTAATAGATAAAAAATTGTTTTGCCCGCGAAACTTTACCTCTGGCACTTACCGTCTGATTTTATGTCAGTTCACCCTCAATTATAGATAGTAATTTGCATAAATTACTATGATTGAAGTTCGCGAAAGTAAAGTCGAAAACGGCTTTTGAGAATCACACTCTGTCTAATTATCGTAGTTGTGTCTCTTTTCACTTTTGCTCGCTTCAACTTTTCTATCGGTCGAAGACAAACGCAACGTGTCGCCAGTTGTAATTAGCTATATACTTTCGATAAGGCGTTATGTTACGAAACAACGGTGCCACGCGATTATCTGTGCCGTTCTGATCACTGATATGCGTAGTAGTGTATTCTGATATCTGGTGTTTTGAAAACACAAAACGTGGGTCTTTCCATTCGAGTACACACACACACACATATATATATATATACTTGCTCATCCGTTTCGTACCTCATTTTGACGCGTTTAATCTTTCAGTAATTTGCTCCAAAATTACACCACAATTATGAATTAATATATACCACAAAATTGTTAACTTCTGCATTATTATATATTTCTTTCTACATTCTCTAATATCCCATTGTTTTATATTCTTTTACTTTTACATTTTATTCCGATTATATTATATTATATTCTTTTACTTTTACATTTTGCTCCGATTATATTATATTTATATTTAATTTTTTGCCACCTTATGTTTCTAGAATATATTCCAAAAAAAAGAGTCTAAAAATATTTCAGCTAGTATATTATAAGATATAGTCGCCGAATGTTTGAACTACCCTTAGCATTCTTAAAAAATACAATGAAAAAGTAATGACACTGGCAACCGATAAACAACAGAGGCAGGTAACAAGTGAAAGAAACTCGTGATGATGCAAGAAAAACGAAGGAATTAAAACTGTAGTGGAAATGTAACTCTGTGAACTCTCGCGTGTCCAGGAAGTTCCATTTTATTTGCTCGGCAAATAAATGTTTGGATCAGTCCGAACTGTCGGTAGAAAACTGAGCTAGTAATGAATTTTACAGGTGATGATTTTGATTTTCCGAAGTTGAGATGCCCGCGGTGTCTTTACACCAGTGGGAACAGAAAACGCGATTGCCAGCCAATTAAGAAGTCAGATTTACGTGGGAAACGGTTTGGCGCGCGCCTTCATGAATATGCAGATGACCCGCAAGAATTAATCGGTCGAGCACACACGACACCGTGCAGTTCTAGTAGCAAAACCGTGAAAAGTATGAATATTTCGCAATTCCTAGCGATACCGTTACCTTGTCTCCTGAAACGCGTGTGTGTAAAACTGTTGTACGTACGAGTAGGCACGTTCGTTGCATGATTTTCGCGAATTAATGTAACCAGACATGCTGCAATTACGAGTATAAATATGAAGATTAATATTCAGATCCTTGGCAAAGTTATTATAAAGAGATATGCATGTGCAAATATATGTTGTAGTTTGCTTTCTTGTTTCTAGCCAGGCTCATTTTAGTCAGATTTTCGATAGAAGGAAATGGTGGTGCTCTTGTATAAGGTTTGACGATTTTTACAGTCACAGGGATCTCATTAAATTATTGTAGTTATTTGACATGAAACAAATTGCATAATTTTGATTGTATTAATGTACAACTCTTGGGAATTCTAGCAAGTTCAAAATATCTTATAAAATGTCTTATAATTTCGATTGTACTGGACACAAGTTTGGGAATTCTGGCAAGTATAAAATGTCTCATCAATGTTCGTACACACTTAATACTATATTAAAAATTTCACTTAAAATCGTCTTCATTCGAAATCGCTTCTATCGCACAGCAGAGGTTTGTGAAATCTGTCAAACTTACTCTCTCTTATTTATATAAT